TGACTAAAGAAAACACCACTAATTAGTTGCTTTTTATGACATGCTTGTTAGAGGGGCAAGTGGGTCTTCCCCCCCCCCCCCCCCGCCCCAATGGGGCCCCAGAACCCATACTGGGAATTGTCTATTTAACCTCTGGAATGTAAACAGTAAACTTACCCTCAATGATGTTAGAAAAAGATATAAATTATTTTTGTACGTACACATTGCTAGTCAGTCTTAGATTTTCCAAATGGAAAATTGGGGAATGCATTTCAGGCAAAGAAAGCAATAAAAGCAGCCATCATAGACACACACATATTTGCTAGTAATACTGATTTTATCACACAATTCACAAGCCATAATTAGGTCACTCACTGTCACCAACTAGATCACACTGACAGCAAAACCATACAAGATTAAAACAAACATCATGACATGTCATCGAAGACTGCGGTGTTAACAAACAAAATTAGAGGACCGTTATAAGCCAGTTGCGCATCAGGGATATGATGTTAGACTCTGTGTTTAATATCATGCCGGCCACTTTTACTTCCCATGACTTTACCTGGTACTCATTTCAGGCTGGGTCTACCTGGGAGCCATTTTTTTAGGTTAACTGTGATAGCATGCGACGCTTGACCTTTGGCTCAGAAAGTGAGTACCTAGGGGTTACACCACTGCGGCTCCCGTTTAGTGTAATTCTTTAAAAAATAACTTTGCCACACAAGAGTGACACCATCTCCCTCTCCTCCATTTTAATTCAGCTCCATGTGACACATGACTTTTGGGCCAGAAAGCAAGTGCTTAGCCATTACACCTACCGCGGCTCCCGACTGGTGTGATTACTTAAAATAATAACTTTGCCTCACAAGAGTGACACCATCTCCTTCTGCTCCATCAAGAGCTGCACTCCATCAGTCTCGTTAAGACCAGCCACAGGAAGGTGCTGTGAATAGCTAAGCATTACCCAACACATAAGGAATCTTCTATTACTATATCATCTTCATCTGCTCCATCAACAAGAGCTGCCCACCAACAGTCCAGTTAAGAACAGCCTCATGCATACAGTACACTCACAGGAAGGTAGTGTGTGTACACGGGCACTACCCAATATCCAGCGAATCCTTCATCCTTGTCAAGCTGGGTGTACCAAATTATTATTATTATGTCCATACAATCTGCCAGAGGGACATATGTGAATTCTTACTCTAGTAAAGTAAAAGTAAAAAAAGTAAGTAAAGATCCCTTTACACGCCCATAGGCGCATCGAGCAATTGGGAAGAGCACCCATATTTTTACAAACCAATCGGCACTAGGTGGGTAATGTGGTCAGCATTACGCCAGGCGTGTTTACTTTCCCAAAACATACATCCTGGTACCCATTTTAGGCTGGGTCAACCTGCGACACCCCATACCATGATAACAAGCCACACAGCCAGCAGTGGGTTTTCGATCGCAGTATGTTGAAATTACGAGACAGACTAGCAACGCCTAAGCCACGAACACCGCAAATTCTTACTCTAAACAGGTTCAAATGAAAAGACAGTAGACTCTATGATATGCGTAATTTCTCTGCAGTATGTTAATGTGGCAGAAAGGTAGGCCGGATAACAAAAAACCGGATTTGCAAGAATTCTATAAAAGCTCAGTTTCTACTTCCCAAATATCATTGAAAACACCCTTTTTAAATCAAAACTTGCTCTTTTTCACATTTTTCTTACCTCCTGGTACAGACTGGTACTTTATAAATGTCTCTTTCTTATGTACTGTACTGGATGTTTCAATCAAACATGTATTATGGAAAAATAAGTCCAAACATTAAAAAAATTTCAAATTTAAGACAACATTTCAATGTCTAACTTGACTGCAGGAAAAACAAAATGACTTGCAGCGGCTTGCCAAAGTAAATTATTCCTTACTTCATTATCGAGAGAATTCTTTTTTTTTTCTTTAAGAGATCAGATAATATAGAGTCTGGATAAACAAGGGTCTGGATAATCAAGGTTCTACTTAATACTTTCTAGGCAACTACATAATTATCCACAAATGTCAATCTTCAAAAGTAAAAAAAAAATTTTTTTTTAATTAAACAAAAGATTCAGCACTTTAAATACCTCGGATGTAGTTCCAAAAATAGTGTAGATCTGATAAGGAGAACTCACCAGGGACCCCAAAATGTAGACCTGATAAGGAGAACTCAGCAAGGACCCTAGAATGTAGACCTGATAAGGAGAACTCACCAGAAATAGTTCTTCTCAGAAATTAATCTTATCCAGATAATAATTCAAGCAACAAAAATTGCAGGGGATAAACAAACTGTTCTTCACAACAGAAATTTGTCACATCCGAGATCGCCTGAGGCGATCTGCAGGATACATAGGAAAAACATGGCTGATAAGAAAAGAACAAGTATGGCAGAACATAAAAGTCATATATCTAAAGTATGACCAAATTATGACATGCATCTAAAAGTCCTATATTTAAAAACAACAACAAAATATGACAAATCATAAGATATGCCTTAAAGTGAAATGAAACACAAAGCCAAATTCCAAAACTAGAACAAATTATGGCATACACCAAAAAAGCAGGGGGAGAAAATAAGCATGACTATATCTACAAGTGAAACAGGACACAAACTCATACATCTTGTTACCAGGGCGGTCTGGCCGACGCTCAACACTCAGGGGAAGGATGAGACGGATATACAATCAGACGGTTACTGGTGCCATCCGAATTGGAACTCTTCGCTTGCTGCTGAAGATGGGGACTGAGCACTTATGGCAGTGTCCCAGGTGCTGTGATGTCAATTCTTAATTCAACATTCCTACATCTAGTGAAAGTCAAGTCAATGACCCTTTACCATGCCATCAGGCGTAAGGCTAGACCCTGTATTTTATAAACCATTCAGCACTCGGTGGGTGACAAGTCAACATCATGCCGGCCACCTCAACTTCCCAGGACTATTTTTGAAGAAAGAAATGTACAAAATAATTTATCTAAACTGTGACCAAAATTGTGAGATGCATCAAAGTTAACAAAAATTTGTTTAAAATAAAAAATTCAAAACGCTAAAGAACCCCTTTCTCATCAGCCGTGTACCAGAAGAAATGAACGCTTTTAGGCATTTAGGGCATATAGGGCTAGACCTATATTTTTATAGACCAATCGGCACAAGATGGGTGATGTGGTCAGCATCACGCCGGCCGCCTTTACTTCCTGGGACTGCACCCGGTACCCACTCAAGGCTGGGTCAACCTGGGAGCCAAGGAAAAAAGTATAATAAAAAGTAAAGGACTCTTTTTCTCGCCTTCAGGGGTATTGGACATATAGTGCTAAACCTATACTTTGTAGACCTATCGACACTCGATGGGTGATGTGGTCAACCACACACCGGCTACCTTTACTTCCCAGGCCTTCACCTGGTACCCATTTTAGGCTGGATCGACCTGAGAGCCAAGGTAATTTTTTTTTAAAGCCTGGCTACATTCGGATTTGAACCCATGACCTTTGGATCTGCAGGCGAGTGTCTCGCCGCTACACCACAGCGGCTCCCTTGAGAACACAATATCATGTCTAAAATATGAATGACAGCAGTACTACATCTATTATTAATGCAAAGAAAGCGGCAAATTAAAATATATAACACACAATTAGCAACATTAGAAGCTATGTTTAAAATATATAACACACAATTAGCAACATTAGAAACTATGTCCTGTGTGAAATACACAACAATTCCCAGTTTCTCTAATCTTTGACTGTCAGTTCCCAGCACAGACACCCCCGTGTGGGTTTCCCGGGGCCCCATTGTGTGGGAAAACAAAAATAGACCCACTGCCTCCACAAAAGCATGTCGTAAGAGTCGACTAATTGGGGAGCTTCCTTTGAAGTCGGTGCATTTGCCGGAGAGGCAAGGAACCAACAGTCTGTATTCAAGAGAATGAGATCTGTAAAACTGATGCACACTCAACACTCAGGTTCTGGAGCAGGACTGCAGTTCAGTAATGGACGAGCAACCAGAACTTTCCGCCAGAGTGTACAGCTGGTGAACACGAAGAAGAAGAAGTTCACAGCACCAGATTTTACACCATCTGGATAGGTCTCTCCAGCAGCTGATCACTTGCCAAGAGCAACCTACAAAGTATGAGCTCGACAGCTCCAGCAATGATCTCCAGACATAAAATACAAAATATGAAAATTCAACCATAGATAGAATCATACCCTTTTATATCTTGTTTTATATGGTTTTATTTCTCACTTATCGCAAAGACAGATACGGCAAAGAGCATGGCTCCATATCCTTGTCGAGGTTCACGGAGATGAGGGCGCGACCCAGAGCTACAAGAAATGAACACTTCACCAAATGGACAAGAGGTTTAATTAATCAACACAGAACAGGCGTCATCAGTCGTTTTGTGTTTGCTGAGTTTTTGAGAAGGTCGGACCATCTATGGAGCTATCTGAAGTGCTATGATGACAATCCTCACTTATCATAAATATGGTTGAATGGGTGTTTGGTATTTCCCCCTTTTTTATATCACATCCAAACTGTTGCTCTTTGAAATGCTGGGTATCAATTTTCAAGGCTGCAATCCTTTAAACAAAATAAAAATAAACAAACAGCCACAGACACACAAATTTGCAATTTTTCACTACATGAAAACTTCTCATGTTATTATCTTAAACAAAAAACAGAACAAAAACTAGAATAACCACTTCATGATTCTGACAAAACAAGAGTAAATAAACCTTGTGATCGATGATAAAACAGCCAGCCATAGTTTGCATCCAAGCTACCAGTTACAATCCGTTACCCTATGTGCAGGTTTTAAAGTGGTGTGCACCGTTAATCGTTATATTAGAATTTCCTCATCACACAATTGAACTGTCTGTCAAAGAGTAGCCAATCAAAAGTCTTTCTTCTAAAATTAGCCAATCTAAAGCCCCACTTCAAAAATTAGCCAATCTAACACCTCTCATCTAAACTCAGCCAATCAAACACTGCAGAAACTGACCAATCAGCATTCCACTTCTTTGTCAATACGGACCCAGCGCTGTATAGAATGAATCAACGATTCCACCCATCTGAAAGAACAAACGTATACATTTATAAAACAGTCTAGTTGGTTATAAATGGTGTTCAAAGTTATACATTTATATAACAGTGTATTTTTTTAATAAATGGTGTTCAAAGTTGTACATTTATATGACAGTGTATTCTAAAAAGGTGTTTAAAGATGTTAACCCTACCAGACCGCTGGCCCAGTTTTCCGGGAATTTCTTAACCTGACGCTATACTGCTGGCCCTAATTTTTGGCTTTTTGCGTAGTGCGGGGAAAAGATGCGTCACAGACTAAAAATAACCACCCAATCGTTATCAATCCTCTTTGTCAGACATTGCAAATGTCTGACCGCATGTGTTTGGATTATATTTGTGTTATTTTACGTGGAAAAATTATGAAAATTCTCACTGAAACGAGCCGCTGATGAACCAAGTTCTAGGCGTTTCACAGTCCACAGGTGATCGATACTTTGGTTTATTCAGACTGTGCAGGGTGATAATTTCATAAAGAATACGTTCTTGAAGTGACACTGTCAGTGAGAGCGCGAATGATGAGGAAAATCTGGAAAATTATAAATCTTGAAATAGATCGATAGTAGGAGAAGGGGGTGTGTCCCTCAAACGGCAACACCTGGTGTTCACTTTGTGAAACAAAGTTGATTCTGATGAGTGGATTCGCACACAAAGGTGGAATATTGGCGCTAGATAAAAGGTAAGCCTTTTTTCTACAATGTCTCCAAGTTTCATCATATTCTAGCCACTCGTTTGCATGTAACTAATATTTTTGTATATCATGTTGGGTTTTTCGCGGTAATGCCCAGGAGCTCAGGTTATAGGGACAGTTAGGTTCGGGGCCTTAGGTCTGGTAGGGTTAAGATCAAAATCATGTAGCAAGTTGTATCCCATATGACTCAGTCTCCCCACAAGCACCTATGAAGGTTTTGAAGCAATACATGTCTTCCACTTATCTTCACAGCTTAATTTCCAACAGAATGCTAACTGACCTGACCTGAGATCTCCCTACTGCATGAAGCAAGCATGTCTGCAACATAAGTTCAGTATTCTCAGGTGCCCGTCCACATGGGAAAGTTCCAAGTCTCCAATCTCAAATCTGCAGCGTCTGCAATCTAAATATAATGGTCTGTAGCTTTCAGGTCAGAAGGTTGACCAGATTTCTGAGACTGTGTTTTAGATGGAAAGTGTGCCAAAGAGTGGCAGCCTTGGTCTGGGTTCGTGTTTTATAAGTACATCCTGCAACTAACTGTCCTTACTGCTCCTAACCTGTGCTAAGTAGTGTGCTCTTTTATTTCATGCAATCTGGCAAGCTATATAGGGCCAGTTTTAACATACCTCTGTGAATCATGGACAATTAACAAGCCAAACTATTCCTTGAGGCCTCGGAGGTGTGAATCCTTCAAATTCTTTGGACAGTCAAGAGCAGCCAGATGTTTTGAAAGAAGTAAAGACTTTGAGATAATTTATTGCAAACGTTAGAAAGAGATGGTCATCATTTTTGGTGATGTTATGAGAAGAAGAAAACTGGAACTTATAGTGACCACAGGAGAGATCTGTGGAAAAGAGACAGAGGAAGACAGCCCGAGAAGATCACTGAAAACCTTTTGTCATGGAGGGGTGTCAACCGACGAACTGACACATGCTGTTGGAGATCATAGTTTGTGGAGAGGGCGTGATCACCAACACCAATTGGCAAGACACCTGATGATGATGAATGAGAATAGTCTGCTTGGTCAGTTGATCAATTTCTTGTTCTTCATTCGTTCGCCCAAGTAATTAAATTGTGCTAGGCCTATTTACAGCATAGCTGCGACATTTGTGCCTTTCGGCAGACACATCCAACTTCAGTGGTCATTTGTTCACAGGGATAGCCTTCCCTGATGGTTTGATGTGACCAACGAAGCCTCATCTGTATGGTGTCCCTTTACCTAGAGGTGTTGCCCTGAAGGACCTATCAAGAGCAACCACATGTAGACTGGCTGGCCCTCAAGGGAATTCCCTATCCTCAGATCATGGGAATTCCCCACTATCCCTCAGATCATGGGAATTCCCTACTATCCCTCAGATCATGGCAATTCCCCACTATCCCTCAGATCATGGGAATTCCCTACTATCCCTCAGATCATGGGAATTCCCTACTATCCCTCAGATCATGGGAATTCCCTGCTATCCCTCAGATCATGGTAATTCCCCACTATCCCTCAGATCAAGGGAATTCCCTACTATCCCTCAGATCATGGGAATTCCCCACTATCCCTCAGATCATGGGAATTCCCTACTATCCCTCAGATCATGGGAATTCCCTACTATCCCTCAGATCATGGGAATTCCCTGCTATCCCTCAGATCATGGGAATTCCCCACCATCCCTCAGATCATGGGAATTCCCCACTATCCAAGGAGGCTTCCATAAATGCAGAGCACTGGCACAGGATGCTCTGGTCATGGGCTGACCCAAGGAATCGTCACGTCAAGCTGACCAATGAGATTCAACAGAGATCAACATATATAGACCCAGAACTAAGAATTCATAAACAATGAGTTAATGCACCAACTATCTGCCAGGGAAGGGAGTCGGTGCCATCTTTAAGCTAAATAATGAAGCTGCACACCATACCATACAAAGCATACATGGAAAGAGAAGGGCGTAGAGCACGAGGTAGACCAAGAACAAGATGGAAGGATAACATCAGAGAAACTCTACAACAGCATGATGTGCCTATGGTCGAGGCGGCCAGAAGAGTTAAAAACAGAACCTTATATCTCCCTCGACACCCACAGCGGTAAAAGAGGAAGTGAAGAAGAAGAAGAAGAAGAAGAAGAAGAAGAAGAAGAAGAAGAAGAAGAAGAAGAAGAAGAATGAAGCTGCACTGAGTGCTACAGAGCAAAGGGGCTCATGATGACATAGAAACCTTTTCTTGTCCGTGTCGTTGTCTGAACTGAAACAGAAAACGCGCATTTTCTTTTCCGGAGGCTGGAGGGAGAAGCTGAATTTTCTGCGCTGGAAATTCTCAACGTCAACAGTGTAGCCATGCAAGTGAGCAACTCCTGTGTTGATGAGAACAGCAGACATCAAGGTTACAGTCACATGACATGACAACAGGTAGGTAATAACAGCATCTAAATCAAATTGTAAACCTCTCCGTGTGGGTTATGGAGCCCCATTTTAGGGGGAACAACGAATAGTCCCACTGACTCCCTAACAAGCATGTCATACAATGCAATTAATTACGGGCATTTCCTTTGAAGTTGGAGTTCATCTGCCTGAGAGGCGAGGAACCAACAGCCTGCATACAAATAAGCCAGATCAGTAAAACAGATGTGGCCGCCAGGCTCAAATTCTGAAACAAGACCAAAGTTCAGAAGTGGACAAACAGCCACAACTTTCTGGCCTAGTTTACAGCTGGTGAATCCGATGAAGACGAACTGTAAATCACTATACCGTGATAAACTGTGAATACCCATTTTATGTTCCAATCTTTTCGTGCGGCAAACATTCCAGGTGGCACCAGTTGACACCTCCAGCCCCTATTTAATACATGAGTATCTTGTTCTTCTTGTCGGCGTCTGTGGCTTAGGTATTGCGAACTTTGTAATGCCGGGGTGCCAGGTTCGATCCCACCTGCAGAAGGTTTGTCTTGCGTTGGGTTTGACTGTGCTACTGAGAGCTGACCGTTCAGTAAGCAATGGCAAACTACTGAACGTAAAATTTGTCTAGAATAACCACAACAGCCCAAAAATGCTGAGGTTGGTTCTGCAACGTCCTGTAAAGGATATGCAACTAACTATATCTTGTTTTTCTGTTCTTGTCCTTGAAAAGATGATTAACATGCTGTGTTGCAGTTTACATCTAGCCTGTGATATCTGCGCCATTCAGTCCAACATACTCAATTCTGGCAGTCTTATTTGGTTGCCATTTATGACAATGTAACAGATCGATTTACTTATTTAGGTAGTAAATTTGACAATAAAAGAAATACAAAGAAAGAAAATATGACATGCATAGGCAAAGCACAATCAGCTTTTAACAGCCTGAACATAATATGGAACTCTAAACTGTATAGTTTTAAAACCAAGTTACGCATTTTGAATTCTAATGCCATTTTAATTTTCCCATATGTCGGAGAAAGATGGAGCATTTTAGCCATTTAGAGACATGCAATGAAAGTTAAATGCATTTGTAAAAATGCTGAAGGAAAATCATGAAAAAAATGGGATGAATTCAGAAGGACTGAAGAAAAAAGAGAAATGTCTGGGCAACCACTAGTAACAACAGTCATAAGGCAGAGGAGATGGCGCTACATTGGCCCCATCCTGGGAAGAAACCAGCAGAGAATCACCAAAAAAGACATTAAAATGAGAAAAAAAGGGATTAAGGAAGACGGGGACACCCAAAAGAAACCCTAAGAAGAATGTTGATGAGAGAGGCCAAAACTACTCGACTGGATTCCATCCATGATATTGAACTGATCGCTCAGGATAGAATGGAATGGAGGAACAAACTGTGAGCCCTATGTGGCATATAATGGCACAACAGGATCATGAATGATTGAATTTATGACATACTTGTTCAGTAGTAGTGGGTTTATTCTCCCTTCCACCCCTCCCCCCTCGCTCGCTCTCTCTCTCTCACACACACAGAGTGAGAAAGAGAGAGAGAGAGAGAGAAATGGAGACAAGGAACCCAAACAAGGAAATACAGGAGTATTTCAACTGGAATACACATGGTTGATTGTGAATCCTATGGAAAAATCAAGTATTTCAACTGGTATACACATGGTTGATTGTGAATCCTATGGAAAATCAAGTATTTCAACTGGTATACATATGGTTGATTGTGAATCCTATGGAAAATCAAGTATTTCAACTGGTATTCACATGGTTGCTTGTGAATCCTATGGAAAATCAAGTATTTCAACTGGTATACACATGGTTGATTGTGAATCCTAAGGAAAATCAAGTATTTCAACTGGTATACACATGGTTGATTGTGAATCCTATGGAAAATCAAGTATTTCAACTGGTATTCATATGGTTGCTTAGTTGCTTGTGAATCCAATGGAGAATCGAGTTTTAACTTCTTCTTCTTTAATGTTCTGCCTTAAAATGACAGTTGGTGTTTTGTTTTGTGGTTTACAGCTAGGCTGCTAAATCTGTGCCTTTTGACCCAACACGTATGATTACAAGAAAATTTTAATAAGTTGACTTTTACAACATCCTTGGGGTCGTGGGTGTATCCCCCCCCCCCCACCCGTCCTCTAAATGGGTGCCCCAGAACACAAACAGGGATGAGTTTTAACAAATGATAGTATAGCTTGTTGTGTGCTGGTTAAGGGCTAGTGCTCTAATGGGACATTCCCTTTGTGGTTTCTGGGGCCCTATCTATGGGGTGTGGGATAAACACACTAACAAGCATGTTACAAAAGTTGACTGAATGTGGGCTGCCTGAGAGGCGAGGAACCAACAGTCTGCTTATAAATAAGCCAGATGTGTAAAATGGATGTGCACACAAAATTCAAGTTCTGGAAAAAGACTAATGTCCAAAAGTAGACGAACAACTAGAACTTTCCCTCGGAGTTTACAGCCGGGAAACACAAATAAGAAGAAGATGATAAAATAGAACAAGATGATAAAGAAGAAGAATGAGGGAATAAGCCAAAGAAGAAGAATCACAACTGCATGTTCACCATACCTAGAGCTATCACTACCGACGGTCAGCCTATGGATCATGCTGATATTATCAATGCCCTCAGAGGAATGGGAAGGATAGAGGACTTTGGTGGCAGTGAATCCACATCACTCGCCAGAATGGCAGACTTGGGAATTAAGATCGGCACAGCAAAAAACGAGACGCACGCCAGAAGACTTGTTAATCAACATAGAACTGGTACTATTAGCCATCGGACGTTGGGGTTCATACTGAGGGGAGGATCTGAGCACCTATGGACATGTCCGGAGTGCAATGAGGATAACCCAACTAACTAACTAACTAACTAGCTAACTAACCTAGAGCACTGACAGAACTTTTGTCCTTGTAGTAGTACACACAGGCATCCTTCAGGATGCAGTAGCGCCGCCTCCATGTCCTTTTACTTGGGCTCAGTTTACCCAGGAACCCAGCACAGTCGGGCTTCATGATGTGGAGGGCAGGCAGGCCCACGTTGTGACTGCTAACACTCAGGAATGACTCTTTCTGCAGAATGTAAATGTTGCATGGTGATATATCATTTAAATAAAAAGAGCAGAAGGGAAGGCAAATAGATAACTATTTGGATGGTTTATCCATATGGGTAAGTTAAGCTGAGTCAAGAACTTCTTTCTTCTTCTTCTTCGCGTTCATCAGTTGTAAACTGTAGCGGAAAGTTCTGGTTGTTCATCCACTTCTGAACTGCAGTCCTGTTCCTGAGTGTTGCGTGTGGATCCGTTTTACAGATCTGACTCATCTGTATGCAGACTGCTGGTTTCTTGACTCTAAAGCAGATGCACTCCAACTCTGAAGGAAGCTCCCAATTAGTCGACTCTTGCGACAAGCTTTTGGGTAGGCAGTGGGTCTATTCTTGTTTTTCCTCTAACAGGGCCCCCGAACCCTCACGGGGAAGTCAAGAACTGACATCACAACACTCGGTGCACTCCCCAATGTGCTCCGTCCCCCAAATTCAGCAGCCAGCACAGAGTACCAACACTAATGGTGCTAGTCGTAGTGTGGTTACATGTCCATCTTGCCTTTCCCCTGAGTGTAGTGAGAGGACCAGACCCTCTGATCCTCGTTTTTCTCCTCTTCACCCTCTCTTCTCTGCTCACTAAAGATGATGTCAAGCACAGAGCATGTGTTCCGTAGCTCCAGTGACAATTCTTATAAAATGAAATATCCATATGATAAAAGTGTTATGAAGCAGGAAGTAGCCGGTAAGCAAAACTAGAACACTGGCCTGATTTTAGGGTACAAATAAAATGGTGGAACATGATGGCCTACGCTTATCAGCACGGCACATAATGATGACGATAACAAACTGGGAAATGTTATTTGATGACAGATATTAAACTGAGTTACATGTACTAGGGCAAGTCATTAAGTAAAGGCAATTGTTTTACAGTCTGCAGAAGAAAAAATGTCATTTCAGAACACTGAAAGGCCCCTTTGCAATATCCAAAGTATGTGTCGTGATGATTTAGCAGTAGGCGAATGCTCAACAGTTCGGTCAATCACAAATGCCGGCACTACACCCACAAAAGTGCATGCCATTCTGAACGCAATCGCCCAACCGAAAAAAAACATTCCACATGAAATTCACAGCTCATAGTTTCACACCAAGCACTCCACTCAGTAGCTGGGTGATAGAACCTCTGGATTCTGAGTCCAGAAATGGAGATCTGCATCAGCAAAACATGGGGGGAGGGAAGGGGGAAACCTATTACTTCTATAATTTGTAGGATTCTTACCCTCCTTTTGGATCGAGCTGCTGCCTCTGTCAGAGCACTCACCCATCTATAAAAATATCACATAATAATTAGTATAATAAAGTAAATTATGGATACATGTTCTTAAAAGTGGTAGAGTACATCGGAAAAAGTTCTTAAACAAATATACATATTTTTTGTAATCTAAACAATTTTCATGTTCTTCCTCTAAATCATCTACATATCACTGTATATACAATGACTAAGAGAAGAGTTGATACTCTGCACTGATAAGAATCAGGTTTTTCTATACCCCACCCCCCCCCCCCCCCCCCCCAGATAGCAACCAATGTTTACATTTCATTTCTATGTGAATGCATCTTTTGCATCACGTGAATGCAGGTTTAGCATCTTTGAGTCCCAGGGGGTTTAGCATCTTTGAGTCCCAGGGGGTTTAGCATCTTTGAGTAGCGGAGAGTTAAGCATGTTAGAGTCCCAGGAGGTTTAGCATCTTTGAGTCCCAGGGGGTTTAGTATCTTTTAGTCCAAGGGGGTTTAGCATCTTTTAGTCCAAGGAGGTTTAGCATCTTTTAGTCCAAGGAGGTTTAGCATCTTTGAGTCCCAGGGGGGTTTCGCGAGTCCCAGGGGGTTCAGCCTCAGAGACCCAATGGGGTGGTAATGCAATTTTGAAATGTTACAAGTGTAACACATTAAAACAGGCCATATTAATTCAGCTGCTGCGCAACATACACGTATTATACATAGAAGGGGCCAGGGATTGTTGAGGAATAATACTAGAATTTTAGATGTTTAGATAAATTAGTAAAATGAAAAAAATAATTTGCCCACTTACCATCATCACACTCAAGGACAACTCAATAAAATATACCCAAAATGAATCATAAATAAACCTGAATTTCTAATGTAAAAATAACATATAAACACAATCTGTACGTTAGGTCTTGTTCTCCCCGTGTGGGTTCCGGGGCCCCATTATGGGGAAAACAAGACTAGACCCACTGCCTCTCTAAGAAGCATGTTGTAGGAGTCGACTAACTGGGGACTCCTTCGAAGTCAGAGTGCATCTGCCCGAGGGTCAAGGAACCAACAGTCTGCATACAAATAAGCCAGATGTGTAAAACGGATGTACATGCAACACTCGGGTTCTGGAACAAGGCCAAAGTCCAGAATTAGATGAACAATCAGAATATTCCACCGGAGGTTACAGCTGGTGGACGCGAAGAAGAAGAAGAAGAACATCTCGTTCCAGAGAAACTTTTAGAACACTGTGACTGAGCACCATTTTTTGGTAAAGAAAAATGACTTCCGAAAACAATTAGCAATTTCACAACAAACTAACTTTATATAAAACAATTTGCCCATAATTTTATAGCCTATGTTCCCAAATAATAAGTGAATCACACTAGACACAACTGACACTGAAGAAAACAAAATTTTTCACTAATATTGTTTAATCATTATGCCAACTGACTTTGTTATCATTGTATGCTTTGCACAAGGTACATACTAGAGATATTCCTCATTAAAGTTTGACCCCATCAATAACCTGAAACAAGTCTGCTTCGCAATGTTCTTTGTCCAGCTTCAGATAAATCTGGTAAACATATGTTTTAATTGAATCTGAGGCTTCTAAAGCCATAAATCTTGTTGGCATGCAGGAAGAAGTCTGATTGGAAGCCATATTGTTTTCAAACAGACGCTTTGTAACTCAGTAAAGCTGACAAAGATGCCACACCCCTGTGTGGGTTCCATGGCCCCATTGTGGGGAAAACAAGAATAGACCCACTGCCTCCCCAAAAGCATGTCATAAGAGTCGACTAATTGGGGAGCTTCCTTTGAAGTCGGAGTGCATCTGCCGGAGAGGCAAGGAACCAACAGTCTTTATTCAAGAGAATGAGATCTGTAAAACTGATGCACACGCAACACTCAGGTTCTGGAGCACGACTGCAGTTCAGTAATGGACGAGCAACCAGAACTTTCCGCCAGAGTGTACAGCTGGTGAACGCAAAGAAGAAGAAGAAAGATGCCACATTTTATGCTTTCAACCACGTTTTCAAATAAACTGAATGGTCAACACGGGGGAACACAAAGAACAGGAAACACCATTCAAAAACCTGCCGGTTTGCGTTTTTATACTTGCCAGTGGTAAAGTGAAAACCAGTACGCATAACGCGCTAATTAGGCAGCTGAGTAGTAACCAATTAGAGAGTGATGTGGTCCTTGGAACTCCGAGAGATACACACATTAATACTTTAACCACACACAGACAAACTAAGCTAAGGTAACAAAAGCTAAGCTAAAAAACAAAAATTGGAAAAAATAAACAAGACTTACTCTGTCATTTGGTCCCGATTGTCCGCAACAAAATAATATGTTCGTCCTCCGTATTTCTCCGCTTTGAAACAGAAATCCTTACTGGTCTCCGTGTGACGAGAGATTGTGTATCCACCCAATGGGACAGCTCCAAGTGGATCCGTTTCCTGCATGATAAACAAAAGTATAAATTTTAAATAATGTGGACATTACATTGCAATACATTGCACAATTTATTGCCAGGCATATTTCGCTGTATCCCATCAGGTGCGTTACTGCAGAGTTACACCAGCAAAAATTAAAACCCAAAAGTAAATAAGTCGCATTTAAGTTGCGAATGTTTTTTTTCGATGCATCATATTTGTCTAGTCGCCGAAAGTTCACTGAAGTCACGTGACCTACCAAGGTAACTTCCAATTTACTACAAATACTGTCTGCTTACAAACGAGGGGGTTGTTGATTATTATATAAATTACTTATGTGAATGTATTACAATAATAAAAAAAAATATATACATATGACATTCATGATATGAATGACCAGATGATCACTTGGGCAAATCATATCATCCTCATCATCAGGTGCCTTGCCGACTGGCGTGGGCGACCATGGCCTTTCCACAATCCGCGATCTCCTGCAGCATGTATCAGTTCGTGTGCTGACACACATCCATGCCATGCAACAAGACTGTCAAGAATCTGGTAATATAGTACGTTTAAAAAATAATACGTAGTTCTGTGTATACAAATATATGAGAAGTATAAACTACCAAAAGATAAATGACCGCTGATAATCTTTCATGACAGGGTCAACCCATCCTGCATTTTTTCGCTCTTTCAATCTCTGTCTAACAACTTTAATCTTTCTGTCACAACTTTCTTTAGACTTGTCTTCTTCTTATTATCTTATTCTTCTTCACTCTGTGCCCTTGAGGTTCACTGCTGCAGATATCATCCCCTTCCATTCATCTCTTCTTCTTCTGCCTTTCTATCCCTCAATGGGGCATAGGCCCTCAACCAACTCATGCCAAGTCGTTCTATCCTTTGCCATTGCATGGAGCTCTCCCCGTGTCCTCCCCATCTTTCTAACTTCATTCTCCAGCTCTCATATCCATGGGTTTTTTGGCCTTCCTTTATTTCTATGCCCCTGTGGGTTCCAAAGACATTCTAGTAATGCTGTTCTCCTGTCTTCTCAGTGTGTGTCCTATCCAACACCAGCGTCTTTTCCTCACCTCTTGGTCCACATTCATCTCTGTGACCGGCTTTCCCTTTCCAGTTGGTGACATCAAGTGTCTGGAGCTCTGCCTGTTGATTATCTCTGCAAGGTCTTCTTGGTCTGCATCATGGTCTACTTCCATTCTTCTGCTTCTTCTACTGTGTCTTCTTCTTATTCTACTGCTTCTTCTTCTTCTATTCTTCTTCTTCTTCTTTTTCATATTCACCGGCCGTAAACTTCGATGGAAAGTTCTGGTTGTTTACCAACCTCCAAATTTAGTCTTCTTCCAGAACCTGGGTGTTGCGTGCATGTCTGTTTTATAGATCTGACTTATTTGTTTATATGCAGACTCCTGGTTCTTTGCCGATCGGGCAGATGCATTCTTGACTTCGAAGGATGCCTCCAATTAGACAACTCCTCTGACAAGCTTGTTGGCAAGGCCCCAAAATGGGGCGCCAGAATCTACATGGGGATTCTCCCATTCAAATCTTTTGTCTGTACAGTTTTGACTTCTCTGACCCAACCGTCACAGTCTATTAGTCCTCACTTTGCCAATAACTGGTGGTGATTTAAACATATGACCAACTACTCTTACCTGTTCATTTTTATAGTAGTACAAGCAGTTATCCTGGCGGAGTAGAAAGTATCTCTTCTTCCAGATCCTGAAGGCAGAGTTTCCCAGCTTGTACATGTAGCCAGACATAACTGTTGCTTGCAGGTCACGTACTGGCTGGAAGTCACTGTTGGCCACGCCCAACTTGATATCACCTGTCACTGGAAAAGTCAACATAAAACTGGTCAATGGCCATATATGACTGTATTCTTCTTTGTTATGTTTTTTTTTTATCCTACAGTAGAAATAGTTGCAAACAACACCTTTCAGTCTGAGTAGCTCGTAAGATGTTTAGGCTTAACTGACTTAAAATTACAGGTTCAAGCAGAAGTGACTGAATATATTACTGCAGTTTTTCTAATATAACTTACTGAATATAAGACTGAAGTTTTAAGATATATTTTACCGAATGACTGCAATTTTCTAGTACTACTAACTGAATATATCAATAAAAAATTGTTGTAAACAATTTGTTTTATAAACGTACTACCCATATGATCTGATCATTCGTTTAATGAATATAAACATAATTCACTTGTTTTATTAACGTAATACACTTACATAAGTAATCTATTTTTGAATGCAGTATGCATATTTTACCATGATTTATCTGTTTTATAACACACACAAAATAGCTTTCATACCTTCTACTCTTTAGAAATTGTTTGGAACACTATGGTTTTCAGCTAGGCTGTGATATCTGTACCTTTCGGTCCAACACATATGATTTCAACAAAATTCTAATTAGCTGCTTTTACAGCATGCTTGTTAGGAAAAAGTGGGTCTCTTCTTTTTCACCCTGGGGTCCCGGAACCCACATTGGGAATCTGCCACATAGAAACAGTTGAGCTCCAGCTCACTACCAAGACATACTTACGACTGTGTATCAGTTCAACAATGTCTGCGTGGTCAGTGGTCAGGACAGTCTGGTCATTGACGGACACCAGGATCTGCCCTTCAGTGATCCCTGCCCTCTCTGCTGGGCTACCTGCAACACAGGCCACAACCATCATTATTTTGCAATGGTCGTTAAAAAAAAATTACTACCATCAAAAACAGATTTTCCCATAGGGGTTCTGGCGTCCCATTGGGGAGGGAGGGGGATAGACCCCATGGAAGAACAACCATAATTTTCTGCTAGAGTTTTCAGCCAACACAAAAACATGTTTGTTCGTCCAATTCTGAACTTTGGTCTTGTTCCGAGACGTGAGCTTTCTGTGTGCATCCATTTTACAGATCTGGCTTATTTCTATGCAGACTGTTTTCGTCTCATCTCTCAGGTAGATGCACTGTGACTTCAAAGGAAACACTTCTAACAAGTAACCTTTCGGTTCAGTATATGCTTGCAGATCAACAGATGACCAAACACTTTCACATGATCAACAGATGACCCAAAAAGATTCACATGATCAACATCTTCAAGTTGGGTAGATTTAAGCTGAGAACTGACATCGTAGTACTCGAGACATTCCCAAAAGCACTACATACCCACCCTCAGTAGTCACTATGGAGTTCCTAATCAAACAGTACCAATATGTTCACAAGATCAACAGATGGTCAATAATGTATAATTATGACCAGACCAAATGATGACCACAAATGTGAAATATAAACAGAAGAATCAGCAGATGACACATTCTATAATTAACAGATGAAAACAGTTGTCACCAGGATTAGGGGATGAAAACAGTTGTTTCCAGGATTAGGGGATGAAAACAGTTGTCACCAGGATTAGGGGATGAAAACAGTTGTCACCAGGATTAGGGGATGAAAACAGTTGTCTCCAGGATTAGGGGATGAAAACAGTTGTCACCAGGATTAGGGGATAAAAACAGTTGTCACCAGGATTAGGGGATGAAAACAGTTGTCACCAGGATTAGGGGATGAAAACAGTTGTCACCAGGATAAGGGGATAAAAACAGTTGTCACCAGGATTAGGGGGTAAAAACAATGGTTTCCAGGATTAGGGGATAAGAACAATGGTTTCCAGGATTAGGGGACAAAAACAATGGTTCCTCAGGATTAGGGGATGAAAACAATGGTTCCTCAGGATTAGGGGATGAAAACAACGGTTTCCAGGATTAGGGGATGAAAACAACGGTTTCCAGGATTAGGGGATGAAAACAATGGTTTCCAGGATTAGGGGATGAAAACAACGGTTCCCAGGATTAGGGGATGAAAACAATGGTTTCCAGGATTAGGGGATGAAAACAATGGTTTCCAGGATTAGGGGATGAAAACAATGGTTTCCAGGATTAGGGGATGAAAACAATGGTTTCCAGGATTAGGGGATGAAAACAATGGTTCCCAGGATTAGGGAATGAAAACAATGGTTCCCAGGATTAGGGAATGAAAACAATGGTTCCCAGGAATATGGGATAAAAAAAAATGGTTTTTAGGATTAGGGGATGAAAACAATGGTTCTCAGGAATTAGGGGCTCTTTATCTTCCTCGCTTTCACCAGCTGTAAACTCTAGCAGAAAGTTCTGGTTGTTTGTACACTTCTCGACTTTAGTCTTGTTACAGAAAGTGAATTCTGCATGTACATCGATTGTGCTGGCTTACTTGTATGCAGACTGCTAGTTCCTTGCCTCTCAGGCAGATGCACTCTGACTTCGAAGAAAGCACCTAATTAGTAAACTCTTTACGACATGCCTTCTGGGAGAGACCATGGGTATATTCTTGTTTTCCCCACAATGAGGCCATAGAACCCACACAGGGAGGATTAGGGGATGAAAACAGCCGTTACTGGGATTTAAAGGTTAGTTGCCTGTCTCTTGCAGCACTACGCTATATAAATCCATATGTCCTTTTTAGGATAAAATTTGTTGTCTTTTGAAGCCCCACCCTGGCTTTTGCCAGGGTGCCGCAATATAGGCAGGCCATAAATATGGCCAATTGTCTGAATGCGGTTTCTGGGACCTCTCCACGGTGATCCTCATCCACATGGTGACACTTTGTGTCATTGGGTGTTTATCGCTTGTGTGATGTCCTGGTGGGGTAGAAAGTCAGTCAGTCAGTCAGTCTCTTGCAGGACCCCAAGAATTTTTTGCCGTTTGTGATTTCACTAGGCAATTTTTACATTCAGAAGTTTGCCACTGCCTCTGAATAGTTGGCTCTTAATACCAATTTTGAAACCAACTCAAGGGAAACTGTTGCCAAATCGCCTGCAGCTGGGACCGAACCCGGCAACATGGAATTACGGTTCGCATTACCTAAGCCACAGATACTAGGTTACCAAGATTAGTGGATGAGAAAAACTGTTATCAGAATTTGAGGATAAAAAACCAGAATGAAAAGAGACATTAAAACTTACCAGGATCCACAGATGTAATATATGCGGGATGGCTATCCAGAAGATGGAGCCCGAGATCTTCCGATTCTGAAGTCCTGTGAACTGTCACTTGTTTGTCTTGATCTGAACATTAAAATCCGAACAAAACTTATGTAAAATCCAATTTTAATGTCATGTCCTAAAAGTTTTTACAGTCAATGTAATTAGAATACAGAGTTATCATCCAGATCTAGGCTATATGTTTTATAATCTCATCCAGTTATAATCTTCCTAGTGTGGGTTCCAGGGCCCTATTTTTGGGGGGGGGGGGGGGGGGGAACTCACTCCTTCTGACTCTTGTATGTGTCTGCATGTGTGTGTTTTTACCTCACATGCTTTTGTGTTTTTTCTTCATATTCACAATATGCATATTATCATACGAATATAACATGCTTTATTGATACAATGCAGCTGCTGTGTGAAAGATGGGGTGTTTGGAAAAGCAGAATGTAAGACAGGTCTCCATGTCCAATTTGTGACCCTTTGAAAATAAAGTTTATTTTTTGGTCGTCTTTTCTCTATATCTGGAATGCCTTGCCACGTCAGGGTAGGAAGAGATCTCTGGAACTTGCCCATCTGTTTGCTTTGCATAAAGTACTTCTCAGAGTCAGATATTTCTGCAGTCTGTATTCTGCATGGTCGACCTGTTTCTGATACCGCTGTATCTGTATAACATTGCTCTCTGTGTGCCCTATCTGATGCCAATTTTATACATGGCCAAACCATTTTACCTGTTGTCTATAAAGTCTGGCCCCCTAAAAAGCATCTCATAAAAGGCAATTAAATAGGGGCTTAGTGTTGTTGGGTGTTGAGCTAACAACTGACATCACAGCACTTAGGACATTCCCATAAATGCTTTGTCCATATCTTCAGCAACCAACAAAGAGTTCTAATTCTAGTGTGCAAAATGCATAAGATGGAAAAACTGGAAAAGAAAGATATGGAATGAAAGTTAATTGCATTTGAAAATACACGTCAGAACAATCATGAACATAAAATGGGATGAATTTTTAAAAAAAAAAGTGAGGAGACCACAGAAACGTTCGGACAAATACTGGCATCGACTACAGTAAGACAAAGAAGGTGGAGATATACTGGGCACACTCTCAGACAAATAAGTAAAGTATTAGAAAACAGGCACTGAATTGGGAAACACATGCTCTGAGAAAAAGAGGACGTCTAAGGAAAACATTTAGCAGAAAATTATTATAAGAAAATAAAATGCTGGACTGAACTCCAAGTCAGAAATCGAGAGAGTTGCATGCAATAAAGCGGAGTGGAGGAATCGAATGTGAGCCCTATGTGACGTCTATCAGCAGACAAAGGATGATGATGATGAACTGGAAAATGTCTGAGTCTTTCACCCAGACTGTGAAGACAACCATGTCCTGAAAGGATCCGTAACATAAACAACCCACCATAAACCCTGGAGGACAGTCGGTGATACTCCTGCTGGCTGTCCGCTCGCTGGATCAAACATTTGCGCCTGGACACGTACTGGCATTTGAACTCTGTTTCTGAAGCTGTGGTGGCCACAGAGTCAGATCTTTTGTGCATCACTTTGGCATGGGATGGTGGGGAATGTAGGTCTGCAAACACTTCATCCACTGTTAGAACAGAAAAGTATCAATGCATCAACATATATGGGAAGAAGCATGAATGGAACTAATAAAATCAAGGCTGTACAGACTAGGCCAATGGATAATGATGAATCTCTGATATTAACACAATAGCATGACTTATGAGTAATCTTGGTGAAGTATGTCTTTGTCATCTTCAAGGTCTTCTTCATCTTTCCTTTTACCAACTGTAAACTCTGGCAGAAAGTTCTGGTAGTAGGTCCACTTGGACTTCCGGCTTGTTTCAGAGCTTAAGTTTTTGTGGACACTCATTTTACGGATCTGGCTTATCTATAAGAAAACTGTTGGTTCCTTGCCTCTCAGGCAGATGCACTCTGACTTTGAAGGGAAAAGCCCCTAATTTGCCACCTTTTACTACATGCTTGTTGGGAGGCAAAGGATTTATTCCTCTATTCCCCCCCCCCCCCAACCCCCCACAGGGCCACGGAATCCACAATGGGATCTTCATGGTCAAGATAGGAGACATGATAACTTTACTTGGTTACTTTAATTTTAGACGACCCCATCTCATCGGCTTTGAAAATTCATAGGGAATTCCTAGGGATATCCCTGGACAGTGCCATTTTATAGGTGGGTTACAGTTAGGTCTAGTGTTAAATGAACAGTGACTACTACTAACCCTAACCCTCACCTATACTATGGGACGTTCTGGGAATTTCCCTACCAAATCTTGAAGCTGATGAGATAGGGGTTGTCTAAAATTAAGTATCCTAACCTCCCATGAAAAACAATGATTAGAAAGAGAAAAAAAAATAAGACTTAAATAATCAGCAACAAACAATACATTGCACAATTTATTGCCTGGTATATTCCACTATGAATCTTCAATTCTAACATTACTTTAGTTTTAACATATGCCAGCTTAAGCTAGAGAACCACCAAAGATATGGAACAGAAGTTAAATGCATTTGAAAATAAATGAGAGAAATTATGAACACAGAATGGGATGAATTCAAAAAGAGTGTGAAGATCAGAGAAATCTCTAAACAAATACCTGTATCGACTGCAAGAAGACAAGAAGGTGGAGATATATTTGGCACACTCTTAAGACGAAATGAGCAGAGAATTACAAAACAAGCACTGAAATGGGAAACTAATGGTCTGAGAAAAAGAGGATGTTCAAGGGAAATATTAGGGAACATTATTACGAGAGGTTAAAAATGATGGGCTGAACCCCATGTCAGAAATCGAAAGAGTTGCATGCAATAAAGTGGAGAAATCTAATGCAAGCCCTATGTGACATTTAGCGGTACAGAAAAGATGGTGATATTTCACTGTATCTCATCCGGTGCTTTACTACAGAGTTACATCAACATAACGAAGCACAAAAACTGAATACTTTCCTACTGAAATACACAGTATCTTCTCTAGTTACACTGAACACCTCACCTAATGAAGTTCAAGACAGCCACATGATTACCACGAAAGTTTAACATTTACTACATGCTCTTTTTGTTTGCACAGTGCACACATTAGTATGCTCATGTAACCCAGGCTCTGGTTTGGTTCACAAGTGTCACTTTTCAAAGCTCTCTTAGGGTCATCGCTGGAGCTACAAGTCTGTGCTTTGTGTGATGCTCTTAGCAGCCAGCTACATGTTTAGCAAAGACAGATTGATCAATATGGGGTATAACCTAGTACAATTAAATTTAACCTCCTAACAACATTTTCTGGCGGCACTCTTTTCTGGCAGTAAGCAGTATCGTCATCTTTTTAGCACCTTTTTTTAGTGCTACTGTAATACACGCTTTGAGGTGAGTATTGGCCCATTTTGTTTTTAGACCTATACACCTGCAATTCTAGTGTGAGACTGTTAATGTTGGCACATCTGATGACTGCCTTATGCATTATTATTTTGCATGTGTGAGCTTCTGATTTTGCTGGGACTGACATGATCTCACTAGTTTTCACACCTTTTTTATTCTATTTAAGAAAAAAAAAAATTCCTGCTAGCAAAACATTCTCCTTTCAGAACCCATCATAAAGATATAACCTCTAGGACCTCACATGCGGCACTGAATGGAGCATCAGTATCTGTACAGTCGGCCATAGCACAGCCCCCACTGCCTGGTGTCAACACTAAAGGCAAAGCTGTCGATGATCTTGCTGCTTGGGACAAGGAAGTGGTGTTGGGGACCTTCACCTCCAGTCTTCCCTCCTGACTTACACGCACCCAATTTGAGCGACGGAAGCTCTCAGCATAAATACCTGTGCAAAGAAGAGAGCAAGTATACTGACTACAAGATAATAAACACTTCACACATATAAAAATTGGAAAGAATAATAGCAAAAGGCATGGCACAAGCAAAGAGGGGCAGGGTTCGAACAGCGAAAAGATGGGCACAGGATATAAATGACACCTTGGGTAGGAAAGTACACAAGGTGGGACAGCTGGCGACAAGCCAAGTTTTTTTTCAGACAGGCAGTGATGAGAGCTATGTTCTACAAAATACCTGCTAAATGATGATGACATATCAAAAATCCCAGTCTAAATTAGAAGGTCAGACAGGCAAAAAGGACACCCACTCAACCAAAGGTCACGACTACAGACATGCAAAGATGAACAAAACGACACTTAGTAGGGACACCTAGCCTTTTATAATGCCACACACACACACACACAAAACTATTAAAGCCATTAAATTTCGCTCAAATAATACATCTTAACCAATCCATTTGTCATAACGAAACCAGATCACAATTACACCCAAAGCGGCTCGCGGCAGGCTGAACGAGGTCAAATTGTTTTTCCATAAAATCAGAAACGGAGAGTAAATTATGAGATACCAATAGCCACAGATGTAAAATTCATCATCATCATGTTGTGTTATTATACAACACACAGGGCTCACAGTCTAGTCCTCGATTCCGCTCCATTTGTGCAACCCTCTCAAAATCATGCATGGATTCCAGTCTAGCACCATCAGCCTTTCTCAACAACATTTATCTTTGGGTTTCTCTCCGACATCCCAGATGTATGAAAAATTAACAGTGCAAATTTTTTATCAAATCTGGCTACACTACAAGGAGAATGATGAACATAAAATTAGATGAATTGAAGATTGGTGAAGAGAAATGTCAGGACAACCACTGGTGTCAACAGTTATAAGACAGAGAAGATGGCGCTATACTGGACATATTCTGAGAACAGATGAACAGAAAATCACCAAACAGGTAATGAAATGGGAAACAGAGGGACTGAAGAAATGGGGATGTCCAAAAGAAACTCTAAGGCAAACACGATGAGAGAAACCAGAAGTGCCAGACACTGCCAGCCATGATCTCCAAGTGATTGCACAGGACAGAACGAAATGGAGGAAAAAATTTGAACCCCGTGTGACATATACTCTGGCAAATACAGCTCTCCGGTGAACAGCATACAGGAAAAAGAGACGTGGGCGACCTAAGAAAACCTGGAGAAGGACAATAGAATGAGACATGAAGGAATGTAAACTGGCATGGAATACCATGGGCAGAAAAGCAGCAGACCGGTAGCAATGGAGATCACTTGTGAATGCCTTATGTGTCAACAGCAACATGAAGAGGATATAGATGTGACACATAATGGTACAACAGGACAACAAATGAATTGATGATGAATGAATGAATAAATGAATGAATGAATTAAAAGGATGTAGTGTCTGGTGGACCGTAATAGGAATACAATTCTACAAATGACATGCTATATGACAATGATGATTATTATTCTGTTTATTCAACCTGTTAATGAATATTTACACTTTCTTCATTTTACTGTTAGCATTGAATGGTTGTTAAACTGCAGCAGAAAGTTCTGGTTATAAGCACACTTCTGGACACTGGTCATTTGCCACCAGAACATGAGTTCTGCATGCACATACATTTGACAGATTTGGCTTATTTGTATGCAGACTGTTGGTTCCTCACCTCTTAGGCAGACCCACTTGGACTCTGATGGTAACATGTTTGTTAGGGGACCTGGATATCACAAGAGGAGTTAATACTTTAACAGTAACTGTATAAGTGTTAGTACTTTCCATGTTTATGATCCAAACATGCAGTAGTGGATTCAACATATACTCTCCCCATGTGGGTTCCGGGGCCCGACTGTGGGGAAAGCAAGAGTAGATCCTCTGCCCTCCACCCCCACAAGCATGTCCTAAAATTCCACTAATTAGGAGTTTCCTTCAAAGTTGGAGTGCACATGATTGAGAAACCAACAGTCTGTTTACAAATAAGCCAGACCTGTAAAAGTGATGTGCCATGTTCTAAACGATTGTTTGAAAGAAGCCAATGAAAGTAGATCTCTATATGCAACAATTAGAAAGAGACAAACACTGTACTTTGGCCACGTAATGAAAAGAGAGACATTGGAGAACATTTGTAACAGCTGGAAAGATTAGTAGAAAAAGAGGTAGAGGCAGACCAAGAGAGATGATGCTGGATGGGCTCAAACGATGGCAGGGAATGATATCATCAAGAGAGCTGTTCCAGGCAACCAGGGATCGTGATCTGTGGAGATGCATGTGCGTCTACGCTAGTTGACAGGGCACATGATGATGATGAATGTTCTAAGACAAGACTAAAGTCCAGAAATGGACAAACAGCTGGTGTATGTGAAGAAGAACATATACTCGTAATTACAAAAAATTCTGAGCTACAAAAACTTACCAACATCTTCATCAGATGAATCATCACTGGCCACCTCTGCTGAAGGATTCTTTTCCAGCTTGTGCTTCCTAGTGATGCTAACTGGACTCTTCTCACTGAGGGAATTATTTGCTGGCTCAGCAATCTGTACATCTGCATCTTCATTCATGGGAGTTAGTGATGGTACAAAGTCCCCCCTGTTCCCCAGTAATGGGTCTGCATCTTCAATCATGGGAGACAGTGATGGTACAAAGTCCCCCCTGTAAATCAGACTGTTTCCTAGTAATGGGTCTGCATCTTGCTTCAGATCAGGAGATATGGCATCAATTGAATCATATGCCTGGTAATTCACACAGGCAGCATATTCTGAGTCTGTCGCAGCATCATCTTCATTGCCATCATCTTCATTGCCATCATCTCCATCATCTGACGAGACAGAGGATACGGCAGCCCCAGTGGTCTCTTTACCTGCAGTATGAGCTGTGTCTTCAAAATTAAAAGTAGCATCAAAGTTATATGAGACACTACAAGTAACACCTTTTGTGCTATTGAAACTGCCATCTCAACCCCATCCTCGAACGGGTCTTGAATGAGGAATAGTTCGGTCAGGATTTACAACAAAATCAAACATATTACCTGCTTCTTTTGGAGCTACTGAAGATGGTAGGACAGTGTCACATGACGTAGTCAGTGAGTCACTGCTTTCTCTTTCAGTAATTTCAGACGAGACATCAGAAGAGCCTTCGGCTAGAGGCATGTTTTGTACATCAATATGAAAATTTGCAGACGATCTTTGACAAGTTCTTCCATCTGTATCACCATCTTGACCAATTGATGGCTTCTTCACCATAATGACTGTTATATGAGTCTCCTTTCTTTGAAGTTACATGGTTTTTCTCCAACACATCCGCAACTTGAGATTCACTATCCACCAGAGAGGCAGAATCTGACTCTGGAAAAGAGTTTTCTAGTCCCGTACTAAACTGCTCAGCAGATGAGGCTATAGCATTTTCAGTCTCATCATCCACGCACGTGGATTTGGCCTCCATGCTGAGGCTTCTCGGAACAACTGACAGCTCCACGTCATCGTAAAAACTTTCACTAATGCTGGCATTGATGTCGTTGCTAGAGATGGACTCTATGGCATCTTCAGTGTCATCTTCATTTTCTAAGAAACTATCATATAAAGAACTCGGCTCACATCTCTGCCGTTCTAAGGAGGCAAATCCGGAATCTTTTGACTTGAATTCTGCAAGAAACTTCTCTCGGTCACAGTTGCTGTACAATAAATTACTATTGACAAAGTCTTCAGCGCTAACACCATCAGCACAACTTTTCATGTCTATATCCAGATTGGAAAATAGTCGATCCACTTCTTCATCACTCATGGTAAACTCATCATCATCATCATGATCCGCAGCAGCCGCTGGATCCTCACTCAGAAACCTAAAGACCTCACTAACCACAGCTGTGGGGGTCCTGGACACCTGTGAGCGCCGTTCCCGACCACCTGTGTTCTTCCTGAGACATATATCTTCCTCCATTACTTTAAAGCGGGAGACTTCGCCACCACATGCTGCGCAATGTTACTTTTCAATTACCTGCAATGAGCAAAACAAACAGTGGCAATTACTGCAGGATTTGTTCTCTGAAACATTTTGCTGTATTTCATCAGGAAAAACAATTGAATAAAATTAAACAAATAAACAAAAAACAGAAATAGGAGTGCTCAACAACATCAACCCAGTTAATATTTCGACCAGACATTTCATGCAAAACTAGGCTTTGACTGCTAAGAGCACATGGTTTATACAATGGAACAATCATGGCACGGTTGCCAACCCATAAGTGCTCTGTTCTACTTTTTAATATGCTTTTGAACAGCACCGTTGAGGATCCTGAAATAATTATGGACATTTCATGCACAAAGTAACTAGGTTCTACTTTGACTGCTTGAGCTGTAACCAGCACTAGATATTATTATGGTTTATACAATGGATCAATCATGGCACAAGGGTAGTAACCCATAAGTGCTCTGTTCTACTTTTAAATCATGCTTGAGCTGTAGAACCATTGCACCGTTGAGGATCCTGAAATATTCTGTGTAGATTTTGAACTTCAGATTTTGCCCGGGCAGCACTGTTAGGCTACTTATTTTGATTTCCAACTGCCAAGGAATTTTTTTTACGTGTGTAACTATTAGGGCTGTACCAAATAGTGATATTCACTATTTGGCCAAATACGAATAGTGTCATCATCATCAGGTGCCTTGCCGGCTGGCGTGGGCAATCATGCCTCTCCATAATCCACTATCTCCTGCAGCATGTATCAGTCTCGTGTGCCGACACACCACTATACGAATAGTGTATAAAATATATCTTTAACAAAAACGCATTCACAATGTCAAATGTACGCTGAACTTTTCTTTCACAAAAAGTAGCACAGAATAGTCTTCTTCTTCTTCTTTAGCATTCTGAGCCCTTGAGGTTTACTGCTGCAGATATCACCTGTCTCCATTCATCTTTCTGGTTGGCCTTCTCTTCACAATTTGTGACACCAGTTGTTTGCAGGTGTGGCTGGACATTATCTCTCAAACCTCTTTTCTGTCTTTCTCATGGTCTACCCCCATTCCTCTCTCAGGCGTATACAGTTTTTACTTCTCTGTCATCTGAAATTCTTTCAATATGCCCTAACCATTTTAGTCTGTTAGCTCTCATGATGCCAGTGATCAGTGGTGATTTAAACAGATTATGTGTTACGTTGTTGCTTATCACTCTCCATTCCCCGCTGTTTGCATCTTTGATGGGTCCAAAGATTTGTCGTAAGACTGTTTTCGAAAACTGTAAAAAGGCCTCATTGGAGCAGTTGAAGTTTGCATCCAAGTGCTTATATGTTTCTTTTCATTTGATTTTTATATTATCGACTTGGATGTGGCAGGAGTTTATATTCTTTTCATGTCTAGTAAGTATTCGTACAGAATAGTGAACATTTAAAAACATTTTCATGTTTTGCATCCTTCAGTCAGTCTGTGGTAACTAATAACTAGGAATGAAATAATCCTAAGTATTATAACAAGTAACTAAACGGACGCCATGCGTAGAGACCACTCAGCCCCCCAGTTATTAGTACATTTACATTTGGCTGTGATCGTGGACCTTAACAGCCTAACTCTAAAAAAAATACAAGCACTGGAAATGTGATCTTTCAGAAAAATTCTTGACATAACATTCAGAGACCACATCACAAATGATGAGGTTCACTGTATAATTATCCACCACACTAGCAAATACAAACTTCTTTTACTACAGTGAAAGGGAGAAAATGCAATGGTATGGCATGTAATAAGATCTAACAGCCTCTGAAAAATAATACTACAGCTCTCAGTAGAGTGGAAGAGGAGATGCAATCCAAGAAAGATCTGGATACAGAACTTCACTGATTGAACAGGCCTGAAACCATGAAGTCCATCTCATCTGACAATCAAAGGTGGTGGGATCTGATCAGACAGTCAACAGCAGCTGGTGACCCAAAGACACTGAGTGTTACGGCATGATGATGATGATGCCTGCGATCATTCTATTGCAGATAATCTGCAGAAGTGGCATACAGTGGTTCTTAACATATACAAGATCTTTACAAACTAACGTTGCTAGAGCAGCTGCTGCATCTAATTGTGTCTGAATGATGTCAAGTTCAAATAGAACAGAATAGAGCGGAAGGAGAAAGAATACAACTGTGGAATCTCATTATGTCAGCGTTATCCAACACAATAATATTAATAACTAATATTTTTTTTAATAATTAGAATTTTCACTTAATGTTCTAGTTGAAACCATCTCAGAATTAAATGACCAACCTATACCTTTAGTTAAGCTCAAAATTATTGTCTGGAGTTGGTGTCATTAGCTTACACACAGACAATAGACACATACACAGAGACACAATCGTACATTTCACTAATTTAACAATTCACCGTCTGCACCCACGTTTCTGCCTCTGGCACACAAGCCAGGCATTCCATCACTCTAGAGAATTAATCAATCTCTCTATTAAGTAAGCGTCCGCTGGTTTATCGATTTCATGGTTTGTCAATGTATATGATGAATGTCCCCCCAAAATGTTTGACAAAACACACGACAATCACATACTTTTTGTAAACAAACTATAGTCCACCTACTAATGACACCAATTTCACTAAAACTACCACCGATTTCACTTATAAATCTAACGCTTATGCATCGATCATTTCCTTTATTTCGCCGTCAGGGACCGCTGGCTATCGATTGTCTCCAGGACTCCAGCACTGACCTCAAAAACCGCAGGACATCGCGACACACACAACAGGTTCGTCGTTTACCTTGATTTCCTTTGGCTGTTCCAACAATCAGTAAAATCCTCGCTACCTGTCAGTTTCAACAAATCAACATTATGAACTATCCGTATTCTCTGAAGTTACATGAAGTTAAGGCATGGCTAGTATATTATTGTTATTGTTAGATTCTAACAAAACGCCTACAACAACCTGTAGAGTAGACTTTTGCTAACCGAATACTCCTTCCTTGATCTTATAAAATAACAAACTTTTTATATTGAAGAGTTCCGGAATTTGATGGAATACCGTGTGTCCCTCGTGTGCATCATTTTTAAATAAACTAGTTAGTCAACATTCGTAGTCTGCTACATATAGGGTTAAAATGTTGTTTGCCTGTGGCAAGTTAAAGAATCTAAATATTTAGGAAGTATATTCTCCGAGAGAATAGAATAGATCGGGAAATGGAAACAAGATGTCACTCAACCAGTGCACTTATATACCAACAGAGGCCCTTTAGTAAAACTTCCGAACATAAGTATGGCTGCAAAGAAACATAAACATGTCTGTCCATACCAACACTGGGAAAGACCTGCCAGACGTGGACATTACAAAGGCTAAAGTGGTCATTACAAACTCTTGTAAAATTAACGGATGTGAAATTTCATGCCTAAGGAAAGCCTCCGGCTTACATGCAGTCTTGACTATAAAGGTCATGGCAGTGCCCAAAGCAATAAAATGGCTGGAGACACAGACCTTTACCGGCGCATGTTTTTTCGGTGACTCAATGGGTATTCTCAGGAAGATAGAAAATGTACTGTGGGGGCTGAGATCAGTTTCATATTCGTGCTAGGGCACAGGGGCGTGTAAGGAGATGATCAAGACGACAGTTTTGCAGGCAAATCTACTGTGGAGGGCAGATATGCCATGGTCCAGGCTGATATACTGTATGCTCGACGAGAGGTATACGTTAGTAAGAACCAAGTGATGACTGTGAATCTGCAATCATGACCAGACTGCAAGAACAACATGTTAAAAGGTGTCTGGTCAGAAAAGAGCACCATGCAAGAAGCCAAAGAAGGATAAGAAACCCACATAGGACTGGGGTCGTTAGCCGCTATACGCTGCAGGATTTACTGAGGAGATCCAAGCAGTTATGGACTCAACTGTTAGATATGCAATGAAGATAATCTGTAAACTAACTAACGTATTGTGCAACCGTTTTATGGTGCCCCAGTATAACTGTGATATGTGGTTATTTGCTTCAACTGGGTTTCCGGGATTTGTACCTGTTTCATTCTCATCGTTGTGATGTTAATCTTGCAGACTGCAATCCTTGAATGGGAGGGGACAAAACCCCTGTAAGCTTACATTGGGGCTCCGACGGTAATGAAGTAACCGGGAGTCCACACCAGGCAGGGATGCAGCACTCGTGTTTGGCATTAGGTGAGGTCTATGTTCGGCAGGCATGTCGAACTGAGAGTCTCCTGAGAGTCATATGGGCCACATTTTATCGTCATAAAGGCTGCAAAGAAAGAGACAAACACTGTTCTTTGGCCACATAATGAGTAGAGATACATTGGAGAACATCGTGACAACTGGAAAGATCAGTGGAAAAGGAGGTAGAGGCAGGCCAAGAGAGATTATGCTGGATGGGCTGAAACGATAGCAGGGAGGGATATCATCAAGAGAGCTGTTCCAGTCAACCAGAGATCGTGATCTGTGGAGACGCATGAGCGCCTACGCCAGTTGACTGTGCACATGATGATGATGAGGGCCGCACACGAACACTAACTGGAGTCATTTAATACAAAGTATATATGGTGTTCTTGCAACGGGCCGCCAGTTTGACTTTCCTGGTGTAGGGTACTCAGTGTCGTCATCGTCAAGTGCCATGCCGACAAGTGTAGACGGTATTTGCTCGTCATCCCACACGAAACGAAAAAAAATTTCAAGAGAGAGAGAGAGCTTGTATACATTGTTTGGAGAACCGCTTGGCCGCTCTCGGGTTTAGGTATAAGCTAAATAAGCTGCAGCTTATGGCCTCACAGAGTGCCGGGGCCTCAAAAAATGAATTGGTAGCAACTATGTCTCAAGAAAAATTGTATATGACATCAAAACGTCTAGTTTCAGAATGGAGGTGAAGGCAGTCACTGCCGCCTTCCGCTGGCTTGGGAATCAGCTGTACACTTATGCTGTGATTGTAACTGACTCATAGAGAATGTTGAGAAAGAA